TTCATCTTTTTCACGTTTCCTTGGTTGGTAGATGCACCGGGGACCTGATTATAGCACTTAAAACCTGGAAAAGTCAGATTTTCATGATATGTCACCTTTAATTCAAAGGGAAAACAAGCTTTCATTCCACATTGACAGTTAATTATTCTTGTTTTAAGCAGAAACTTACTTCATTTTCTTCACTTTCAGTCTTATTGGTTTGAAACAGCATGGTTGCAAAGACTATTTTTGCTTCAAATCAAAGTGTTTGATGTTGTAAACAATCGGAGCTGTCGAGTGGATTCATGCCTGAATTTTCAAAATCTTCATCATGACATCTGAGTGTCTGGAGGTGTTTGTTTCTCACCTGTGCTGTGATTGGTCAGTCTGGAGGTGTTTGTTTCTCACCTGTGCTGTGATTGGTCAGTCTGGAGGTGTTTGTTTCTCACCTGTGCTGTGATTGGTCAGTCTGGAGGTGTTTGTTTCTCACCTGTGCGCTGATTGGTCAATTGGTCAGTCGTTTGTTTCTCACCTGTGCTGTGATTGGTCAGTCTGGAGGTGTTTGTTTCTCACCTGTGCCCTGTGCTGTCAGTCTGGAGGTGTTTGTTTCTCACCTGTGCTGTGATTGGTCAGTCTGGAGGTGTTTGTTTCTCACCTGTGCTGTGATTGGTCAGTCTGGAGGTGTTTGTTTCTCACCTGTGCTGTGATTGGTCAGTCTGGAGGTGTTTGTTTCTCACCTGTGCGCTGATTGGTCAGTCTGGAGGTGTTTGTTTCTCACCTGTGCGCTGATTGGTCAGTCTGGAGGTGTTTGTTTCTCACCTGTGCGCTGATTGGTCAGTCTGGAGGTGTTTGTTTCTCACCTGTGCGCTGATTGGTCAGTCTGGAGGTGTTTGTTTCTCACCTGTGCGCTGATTGGTCAGTCTGGAGGTGTTTGTTTCTCACCTGTGCGCTGATTGGTCAGTCTGGAGGTGTTTGTTTCTCACCTGTGCGCTGATTGGTCAGTCTGGAGGTGTTTGTTTCTCACCTGTGCGCTGATTGGTCAGTCTGGAGGTGTTTGTTTCTCACCTGTGCGGTGATTGGTCAGTCTGGAGGTGTTTGTTTCTCACCTGTGCTGTGATTGGTCAGTCTGGAGGTGTTTGTTTCTCACCTGTGCGGTGATTGGTCAGTCTGGAGGTGTTTGTTTCTCACCTGTGCTGTGATTGGTCAGTCTGGAGGTGTTTGTTTCTCACCTGTGCTGTGATTGGTCAGTCTGGAGGTGTTTGTTTCTCACCTGTGCTGTGATTGGTCAGTCTGGAGGTGTTTGTTTCTCACCTGTGCTGTGATTGGTCAGTCTGGAGGTGTTTGTTTCTCACCTGTGCTGTGATTGGTCAGTCTGGAGAAGGGTTTGGGCGGCAGGGCGGGAGGCTGTTTGTGGATGAGCTGAGGTTTGGCCGGTGTTTCCTGAAGGTCACTGGGGAAGGTGACTGTTTTCTTGGGAGGAAGCGTGAGCGACTTGAGCGTGTTGTCCTGAGCACATACTCCTCCGTCCAGAGCCGCGCGGAACTCAATGGCGACTGAGAGAACAAAGCGTTCATCACCATTAGAAACATGAGGAACATCATCTGTCCCATGAGCCTCTACTGTCCTGCTAACTCTGAGGAGAAAGAGAGCTGGACGCAGCAGAACAAAGCACATTATTCAGCTCATGAAGCGCCTCGTTATCTGAGCTGAACTCATTAAAAACAGCCGTTAGCTAAAGCAGCGCTTTCATGCTGTGTTATGGCTTTCTTGTGCTGTAATTATCTCTGAATCCAGCTCGTGACTCTGCTGATGTCCTTCAGTACCATCATTACACTACAGATAGACACTGATCACTCTAATGATATTTAAGCATTTTCCTTCATCAGATATTGGTTTTGTAATATCAACTCCACAGATAAACGGTAAACGATGAGACGTTCGTCATTTGTCAATGACTGTAAAACACTAAAAATAGTGCATCACAGCAGGTGTTTCATAATCTGATAAAAACATGAATAATTCTGATAACATGCCATTCGAGATGGACTCCACAAATGCACAATAAAGCATATTTTGATTGTGACCATGATTTCTGCTTCTCTCGATTTATTACGCATTATTATTATAATATCTGCGATATTTGCCCACTGGTTATTTATCCTGAAAACTTTTTAATCTGGCATTTGTGTTATCTTGCATTGGTAAAGAGCCTCCACAAGCTTTCATTTTCTCAGTTGCCAGATCTCTCAAGTTTAAATCCCCAAACAGAGCTTTTCTTTTATATATTATATGTATTTCCTGCCCAGTGGTTTACTTAATCTTCCCAACCTGGCAACCATTTGCACGCGCTCTCTCTACGTGGATGAGCTGAGGTTTGGCCGGTGTTTCCTGAAGGTCACTGGGGAAGGTGACTGTTTTCTTGGGAGGAAGCGTGAGCGACTTGAGCGTGTTGTCCTGAGCACATACTCCTCCGTCCAGAGCCGCGCGGAACTCAATGGCGACTGAGAGAACAAAGCGTTCATCACCATTAGAAACATGAGGAACATCATCTGTCCCATGAGCCTCTACTGTCCTGCTAACTCTGAGGAGAAAGAGAGCTGGACGCAGCAGAACAAAGCACATTATTCAGCTCATGAAGCGCCTCGTTATCTGAGCTGAACTCATTAAAAACAGCCGTTAGCTAAAGCAGCGCTTTCATGCTGTGTTATGGCTTTCTTGTGCTGTAATTATCTCTGAATCCAGCTCGTGACTCTGCTGATGTCCTTCAGTACCATCATTACACTACAGATAGACACTGATCACTCTAATGATATTTAAGCATTTTCCTTCATCAGATATTGGTTTTGTAATATCAACTCCACAGATAAACGGTAAACGATGAGACGTTCGTCATTTGTCAATGACTGTAAAACACTAAAAATAGTGCATCACAGCAGGTGTTTCATAATCTGATAAAAACATGAATAATTCTGATAACATGCCATTCGAGATGGACTCCACAAATGCACAATAAAGCATATTTTGATTGTGACCATGATTTCTGCTTCTCTCGATTTATTACGCATTATTATTATAATATCTGCGATATTTGCCCACTGGTTATTTATCCTGAAAACTTTTTAATCTGGCATTTGTGTTATCTTGCATTGGTAAAGAGCCTCCACAAGCTTTCATTTTCTCAGTTGCCAGATCTCTCAAGTTTAAATCCCCAAACAGAGCTTTTCTTTTATATATTATATGTATTTCCTGCCCAGTGGTTTACTTAATCTTCCCAACCTGGCAACCATTTGCACGCGCTCTCTCTACATTACAGAAAAAGCACTGATGAGCTGAAAACACATGCACATTTGAGTTTAGCAATCTCTACTAATATATTCTGCTCAAATGAAAGCCAGTCTGTTTTCTTTCACGCAGACACTGGCAGACAAACCATGCGAGCTGATGTTCTGTTGATTTGTGCTTATGTGAACGTCCAATAATTCTGATGAAATGTAAAACTAAAAGGACAGTAATGTGATTTATCATTATGATTATATTTGAGCAAAATAATGATGATTAACAGTTTAATCAGCCTGTGTGTTTCGTTTGTTTCTTCTCGGAGTGTATAATTATTCCAGTGAACACGGAAACCTTCATTTTACTGTAGTTTAAAATACATGCAATGCTCATTCTCGTTAAGTTGTCCAGTGCAACATTAGACTTTGTTCATTTATTTTGCCTATAGTTAGTATTTTTGTTGTTGCTGCTGCCGTTTTAAAAATATTTGTTTTTATTATTGTGATATGAAAACAATTTAACAAAAACAAGTAAAACAAATAAATATTGGTTTTGTATATCTGTTATCTGATATTCTGCATGATGATCAGGAATCTGAGATCAATCACACCACGGTAATAAAGCTGCTCATGCAGATGTTTGAGTAATGAGCGCTGTGAGTTAATGATCCACACTCACACTCACACACACACTCTCTCTCACACACACATTCACTCTCTCACGCTCACTCTCTCACGATCACTCTCTCACGATCACTCTCTCACGCTCACTCTCTCACGCTCACACACACACACGCTCACACACACACGCTCACTCTCGCACACACAGTCTCTCACGCTCACTCTCACACTCTCACACACACGCGCGCTCTCTCGCACACACACACGCTCACTCCCGCACACACACACGCTCACTCCCGCACACACACACGCTCACTCCCGCACACACGCTCACTCCCGCACAC